CATAACACTGACGAGAAGAACACAACAGATGCAATAGTATCCCTAAATCAGGGATCTTTTTTAAATTGAATCGGAAAAAGAATCGTTCAATTGTTTTTTGGCCCAATCAAAAGTGCATCATTCCTTTTTTAATCTCTGAATCAAAAGGAATCGATTCACCATTTTTTAAGGAATTGAACGGTGATTGAATCTTTGAAAAATAATCAAATGAGTCAATGATTGAATTGATCCAAAAAAGGCGAATCAATAACCAGTCTGGTGGCAACATCGCGTCGGTTGAGGACAACAGTGCCCACAGTGTCGGTTGAGGACGGGAGTTCCCAACTCACGTGCGTGCCCACAAGAGATCCTCATCCGTGTCACAAGCTGCGTTGCACTTCTGGAGCAGCTTTGCTGTCAATGCACTGCGACCTGATGCGCTGCCTGGCGATTCTGGCCGCGATTCGTCTGCTGGTGCTCGCCAGCTCGCCGATGCCAATGCCGAGGAGAGAGGGATGGAGCAGGGCAGAGGGATGGGGTGGGAGCTTTGAGACGACGTTTCACCGACGGCTGGCACGCGACCATGTTTTGTGAGCGGGACGGTCCCTGAGTCCGTTACGTTTCCTGAGATTGTGTATGGCTTGTAGTTGCCCGGCTGTCGGGTGTTTTGTGCCTCGTCTGAGCACCCTGACACCCTCCGTGTGCGGCGGTGTCCGATGTAGATTCTAGGTCTGCTATCTACCCCCTGCCCTTCCTTTACCGAACTTCTGACTGCCCCCCTCTCTCTCTCCCTCTGCAGCAAAGTTTTCGTTCTCTGGTCGCCATGGATTTCACCGGCAGCTGCGGCAGCGTGTTTAGCGACCCAGTCGAGGCCAGGGCCATCGAGCTGGCAGAAAGTCACCATCCCAGGAGAACACACCCGCTAAAGAGGCTCTAAGGTATGTGTTTTGACGACGGGCGGAGCGGGATGGGCGAATGCCGATGTCGCTTTGCTCTGTGATTTTATGAAATATGGTGACTAATGGTTGCAAACCAAAATGATAATTAAAATCTAAATCTTTTTGTATTTTAGACGTTTCGACAACAAGGTGCCACCATTGGTAATCGATACAAAATCTACCTTAACCCTCGCATGTATAGGGGCCGGGGGAGGGGTCGGATGGACCCCTCCATGCAGGGGTGTCGATTTCTCAAAATGGTTGGGGGTGCTTAACCCCTGCACCGGGTGAAAGATTGCAGCTTTGCCATGGGCACAACCGTACAAGGCATGGTTGGGTATCCCCATAAGGTACTGATAATCCCGGGATTTCCACTAATATTTCCCAAAGGTTGAACGTTCTTCAAAATCATTCTGCTCGTCCTAGTACTTGGCTACCTCATTACATAAACATCTTTCCGAAAAAGTCGTACATTTGCCGGCAGCTCGGCAGCAGCCCCAGCACCTCTGTAATAAGGTGACAGAAACCGATGGCCGCGGTTAGCACCGGTGCAGCAGCCCCTGCGGTCCACAGGGGCGGACATTGCGCGGGAGGCAACGGTATAGCTACGAGGCTCTGGCGTTAATCAGACGATCACAATAATCGCTAAAAAAATGACAGGTGATCGCATTTCGATATTTATGGGTTTACGATTTTCCTCAGTGGCGTAGCCAGGTGGGCCCGTGAGGCACATGCCCCCCCCCCCCCCATTAGGTTCAGGGGCCCATCGGGTTATTCGGGCCTGAGGGGCACTGCGGCGCCAATTGGCCGCTGAGGGTCCAGGTTGGCTATATTTGGACTCAGAAGGGGCCCACAAGGCTCGTAAGAACACCTCATGGGCCCACAAGTACCAACATTAAGATCTTCATAAGGGCCCAAGCCAGCCTCTGAGGGCCACTTGCCGGCCTCTGGGGGTCTTAACCGGCCTATAGGGGGCCAGCTCTAGGAGCTGCACACCCGCCTGTAATGGCCCCACACCCATTTCTCTGAGGGCCCCTATAACGGCGACTGTGAGGGCCCTCACCGGCACCCCTGAGCGCCACACCGGCGTCTCTGAGGGCCCCACACCCCTAACTCTGAGGCCCTACACCAATGCCTTTAAAAACCCTACATGGGCGGTTCTGAGGGCCCTTGTCAGTTACCAGCGACCCTGACGGCCCCACACAGGTGACTCGGAGGATCCCAGCGGCGTCTGAGCGCACCATGCCAGTCTCTGAGAACCACACAAGGCTCCTGAAGGCACCGGTGACCTCTTGATATCTTCTTGTCGGCCTATGAAGGGTCCGTTCCGTAACAGCAGTTCTGAGGGCCCCACGCGCGCCTGTGATGGCCCTAAACCAGTATCTCTGAAGTCTGAGAGCCCCCACAACGGCGCCTGTGAGGGCCGTCACCGGCGACTGTGAAGCCCCCACACCGGCGCCTCCAGTCCGAGGGCCCCACATTGCCATATCTGAGGGTCCCACACTAGTGCCTCTTAAGGCCCTATATCGGTGGCTCTGAGGGCCCAACATCGTAGCTTCTGAAGGCCCCACAAGTGCGCATGTGACGGCCACCCTGCCACCGGTGACATTTGAAGGCCCCACACCGGCGACTGAGGGCTCCATCGGCGTCTAAGTCCGTTCCGGTCTCTAAAGACGACCCCAGAGGGTTTCTGAAGGTACCACCGGCCTCTGATGGCCCTTAGCCGGCCTCTGAGGGCCCGTCGCCGGTCTCTGGAGCCCCCTGCTGGCTTGTAAAGGGTACGCGCCAGCAGCTCTAAGGGTCCGACACCCGTGGCCGTGCACGACGGACCCACACCAGTGTCTTTACAACTTAACGTCTTTTTTCGCTCTTCTTCTTAAAACTAACTTTTCTGGCTTTACATCTTTATTTCATGCCTTGTGAATTGCGTAATTGTTTTATTTTTATTAGTGAAAGACTGCAGAACAATTATTTTCCTCAAGCAGAGTTAGTGGGAGTTATTGAGGGGCAAAATCATTGGGGGTGCCCGGAAAACCATTGGGGGTGCTCATTTGAGCATTGGGGGTGCTGCAGCACCCCCAAAGGTATACAAATCGACACCCATGCCTCCATGGTTTGTTCCCAAATAACTCGCGCAAACTGCGGCTGATCGCGACAAAACTTTCAGTACCCTCGAGTTGATCAACTTTACAGTTACCCAGAAAATTGCATGACCCTGACCGAAATGACCTTTGACCTGTGACCTGATCCTCGAGACCATGTTCGGCCGGAATCGCGATTTGGCGTATGTCAGCTCACATTATCCGCGCGTTTTCCAGTCTTTTTGTGATTATAAACGTCGAAACATGTGAAATGATGTTCGTCCCACGAATTACGGTGGGTGTCAACGTCACCTGAAGGTCAGGTCATTGACCTTAGATGACCTCGGTTCACTTTTTCGTATATTACATGTTTCAAGGGTAGTTTTTCGGGCTGATTTCGAATTTAGCATCCATTTGAACATTTGCGAAGTAGTTTAGTGCCTTCGTAACATGTTACGACGCCGTCAGTGGTAGTTGACACCTACTATGGATAGCCGTCAGGACGCCTACTGGTCGACCTGACCTGACCTGACCCGACCTGGCCTAAATGCATGAAGACATCATCTGTAATCAAAAGTAATATGAAATTCGTGATCAGCACACCAAAAAAAAGCCACAACAGCTTCACTTTACGAAATTCTAACAGGTCCCGATTTTCTCGACTTTTGGGTCATTGACCTGACCTGGAAGGTCAACCAATTACCTAGGACCTTAAAATTGGGTATCATCGGCTTCCTCTCATCACGGGCAACACGCTCGTTTTTTCCGCGAACCTCTAGCTCGATCAGGGGCCGAACGGCAGGCGGGTTCAACGGACCCCCCCCCCCCCGCCGTACACATTACGCTGGCAAACGCCGCACACATGCGGGGGCTAAGTCACAATCCGAAGTAACGGTTTTTGGTCTCCTGTAAATTTTACAGGTCGTTCAGTTGGTGCCGTTGCACGCAGCTCGCCTGGCTGGGGCCTTTCTTCTATCATTAAAATGTTATCTATCACTGTTTGCCGGAACTGGCCTCCTATAACGCGTCAGCCTCGTTGAAGATTGTCATCCCTTCATCATTTTGTCGTTGCACTTTACCACGCCATGGTTAATTAGTATCATGCCTGCCGAACGACGTCATCACGGTGCCATCAAGGGGATGTGTCGAGGCTGCTTTAATCTGGGACGCTGGTCGGCAGCTCACATTTCAAAAGAAACTGACGCTCATGAACTAGACATGATGAATGAGCGACGAACGTGCATCCAGCTGGTAGGGTAGCAGTTGTGAAATGCCCAGGATACAGCGGCGTCACCACGGTTTCAGAACTTCTAGGGACACTTTTCCAGGGCGTCGCCACAAACCTTTGCTTGAGTCTGGTCGCCAATGCCCACCTACCCCCAAATCTTCGTTCCTTGTTGGATTTCGGCCACTGCCTAATTTAAAAACGAGGGATAATAATTAATATTTAGTTGGGGAAAAAACGAAGAAGTTACGCGGTAGTATGTAGGCATATTCTTCGATCAGGAAACGCGTGCCCACATCATTCTGCCTATGCAAACCTGTTGGACCCCAGAGGCCAGCAGAGGGCCCTCAGAGCCCAAAATGGTCCCCCAGAGGCCAATGCAGGCCATGAAAGGTCCGGCATCGGATCTTCCGAATCCAGTGCGAAACCCTCAGAGGCTAATATAATTGGCCCTTACAGGCCAGCATGGGGCCTCATAGGTCAGTGTGGGTTCCTAAAAGACCGGCATGGGCCAGCGAGACCCCAGAATTGGACCCCAGAGACAAGCAGAGTGCCCTCAAAAGCCAAGATTGGCCCTCAGAGGCCGATGCGGCCTTAGAGGCCGGCATCGGGTCTTCAAAATCCAGTACAGGGCCCTCAGGGACACGTAAAGGTTAGTCTTCGTACCCCAGAGACAGAACTGCCGCCAGAGGCCGATGTGAGGCCGTCAGACGCCGGATGGGCCCCTGAGGCCGGTTTAGGGGCCCTTAAAGGCCAGCGGAGGGCCCTCAGAGGTCAATGCGGGTCCTCCACGGTCAGTGTGGGCACTTGACCACCATGGAAGGGCCCTCAGAGGTCAGTGTAGGGCCCTAAAAGACCGGTATGGAGCTGTCAATAGCTGATGTGGGTTTCTTGAGCCTAGTGACAATCGAATAAGGGCCGGGGCCCCATCGCTTGTTTTTTTTTGGGCGGGGGGGCAAATTATATGATGACCCCTGATTTTCCCTTTGGGCGGGGGGCATGGCCCTGATGCCTCCCCCCTCTACCCGCCGTCTCCGATCCCCACTCCGATGTTCCAGAGGGAATTGATTTAGGAAATGTTGGCTTGACCAGCGGCCGGCCCAGAGCGGCGGCCCAGTACTGCCCTGATCCTGACCTCCCGCCGGGTCCACGCGCACTTTGGCGACCAGCCCCTCATACAGCTGGGTCTGCCCCAGCTCGTAACCGGCGGGCAGCTGCATATCGTCATCGGTCGGGTTTATAAGCTGGACCTGTATGTAACCAGCCGAGTTCGTTTGAGCAATCACGCTGGGCACCTCCAGAATCGGCTCGGGTGTCTCCTCGGGTGACTGGGAAACAAACTCGACCAATTTCTCGGACGAGTGCCGGCCTGCCGTATCCAGCTTTACGGCGACCACACGCACGTGCCTGGAGGCCGGAGGACACCGTCACATCTGTGAGGAGGCACACCGCTCGTGGGCCTTTTTATTTATCGTGGCGATGTTGACGCGACCGTTCGCAACGCAAAACACATGTGTTTGGAGAGCTGAGCAAGTTGCGTCATTATGGTGTCCCGGGTTCTTTGCGTGTCCCCAGTAAAGGGAGCTCCAAAAACTTCTAGGGACAATCCCTAGTAGTTTTCGATGATTTCAAAACTTCTAGGGACAATGTCCCTAGTGTCCCTAGTGGTGGTGACGCCCATGCCCAGGAAGGCTCTGGAAGGGAGGAGAAGAGGCCAGCTGGCTCGATATTAGTAGACTTTGGCCGAGTTCTGTTACCAATTGTTGGCGTAGGTCATGGATTATTGCGGAACGGTTTGGGATTCGCGACGATTAGCCGTTGTCTTCCGACAGTTTGTACTACATTTAGACTTAGATTTCCCTGGACGATGACTTACCGGTCGTGCTATCATAAGTAGCGATCATACGTGCATAAAGATTAATCCGGTGTCGATCCGGCCATCTCATTGGCCCCCTGCTGGTCGCCCACCGACCTCAGTTGACCATTTTCTCCCCTCCACAGGTAAAGGACACCAGTCAGCCGCCGGTCACGGTGCTGGACGGCGGCAAGACTCGCTTGTACGACGTCATCCAGCTGGTGGAGTTTTACCAGCTGAACGCCGGAGTGCTGCCCACCAGTGCTGGAAATGAGGCCGCTTTCTGGTCCCGGCGTTTTATTCTCCAGGTGAGTTAGCCCCGTCTAGCGCTTAGCCTTTCGGGACCCTCTCAGAGCCGCGGTTGTTTTCGCCGCTCGGCCCATTCGAGATGCAAAGTTTAATCTGGGACGCTGGTCGGCAGCTCACATTTCAAAAGAAACTGACGCTCATGAACTAGACATAATGAATGAGCGACGAACGTGCATCCAGCTGGTAGGGTAGCAGTTGTGAAATGCCCAGGAAGGCTCTGGAAGGGAGGAGAAGAGGCCAGCCGGCTCGATATTAGTAGACTTTGGCCCAGTTCTGTTGCCAATTGTTGGCGTAGGTCATGGATTATTGCGAAACGGTTTGGGATTCGCGACGATTAGCCGTTGTCTTCCGACAGTTTGTACTACATTTAGACTTAGATTTCCCTGGACGATGACTTACCGGTCGTGCTATCATAAGTAGCGATCATACGTGCATAAAGATTAATCCGGTGTCGATCCGGCCATCTCATTGGCCCCCTGCTGGTCGCCCACCGACCTCATTTGACCATTTTCTCCCCTCCACAGGTAAAGGACACCAGTCAGCCGCCGGTCACGGTGCTGGACGGCGGTAAGACTCGCTTGTACGACGTCATCCAGCTGGTGGAGTTTTACCAGCTGAACGCCAGAGTGCTGCCCACCAGTGCTGGAAATGAGACCGCTTTCTGGTCCCGGCGTTTTATTCTCCAGGTGAGTTAGCCCCGTCTAGCGCTTAGCCTTTCGGGACCCTCTCAGAGCCGCGGTTGTTTTCCCCGCTCGGCCCATTCGAGATGCAAAGTTTAATCTGGGACGCTGGTCGGCAGCTCACATTTCAGAAGAAACTGACGCTCATGAACTAGACATGATGAATGAGCGACGAACGTGCATCCAGCTGGTAGGGTAGCAGTTGTGAAATGCCCAGGAAGGCTCTGGAAGGGAGGAGAAGAGGCCAGCTGGCTCGATATTAGTAGACTTTGGCCGAGTTCTGTTGCCAATTGTTGGCGTAGGTCATGGATTATTACGAAACGGTTTGGGATTCGCGACGATTAGCCGTTGTCTTCCGACAGTTTGTACTACATTTAGACTTAGATTTCCCTGGACGATGACTTACCGGTCGTGCTATCATTAGTAGCGATCATACGTGCATAAAGATTAATCCGGTGTCGATCCGGCCATCTCATTGGCCCCCTGCTGGTCGCCCACCGACCTCAGTTGACCATTTTCTCCCCTCCACATGTAAAGGACACCAGTCAGCCGCCGGTCACGGTGCTGGACGGCGGTAAGACTCGCTTGTACGACGTCATCCAGCTGGTGGAGTTTTACCAGCTGAACGCCGGAGTGCTGCCCAGTGCCCACCCGTCTCATCTGCTTCATCACGCACACCGCGCCGTCGTCGTCATCGGCGCTCCGTCACGTCGCGCAGAGCTTCTAACGGCTGCCGCACCGCCGCCAGCGCCTCCGGCGGCGGAAGCGCGCGGCTGTAGTTCGTGACGGCGGCGTGCTCCGGTCATGGGGCGAACCCCGGGCCCCCTGGGCTACAGAGTGGGTTGCGCGGTGGAGTCTGCCCGCTGCTAACATCTACCGGCGCGGCGGGCAGGATCCAATGTCGCGTGTAGTCGCCAGGGCGATTGGAGTCGGTCGGCCTGGACCTCCAGTTTGGATGCCCGTTCGAGTCCACATGGACAGCGTGCGGATACCCCAGTGCCTGTCTGCACCTGTGTCTTGGAGGGATCGTGTGTTCCCTGCGGCGTCAGAGGAGGCCCCCACGTGCTCACGGGGTGGGACAGTTGCGACCCGCGCGGCGGGGCGGGGCGGAGCGGCTGCTGCTGGCCCCGTACACTGTTCTGTTGAGTTCCTGGCGCGGCTGGCGACGCTGCGTGATCTCACGGCCGGCTCTGTCGCCGCTGACCCAGTATTAAGTTGCTAGGGAGCGTGTGCTGCTCGCGCCTGTTGGCCGGCTGTGTCCGGTGCTATGATAAATACAATATATGTAACTATGTTGCAGTTCCTTTCTTTTGATTGAAGCCAGATGTACCGAGGTGCTGGAGGCACACAAAACGAGCTGTTTCGCGGCCGCACGCAGCTCCTGATTTACCTACCACAAAAATTAGCAAACAAAATCAATGTGCGTGAAGTTGGCGTCGGATTCGGATTCGTATTCAGCGTCGAGTACCGAATCACTTGAAAACGTCATATCTGGTCAATTCGGGGACGGGGAGCACGAATATGACATTAATTTTGCCCTAGCAGGTATCCCTTATCCCTTAATCGTCCCTTAAACGACGGGGCGCGCCAAAAGTGCCTCAGGGGCTCTTCCGATCACGAAAATAATGGTCCCAGGCGATTCCCCGGGTCGATATCTAGCCGCACCACCACTAACTTCACACGTGCCTCATATCCCTTATCCCTTAATCGTCCCTTAAATGACGGGGCGCGCCAAAAGTGCCTCAGGGGTTCTTCCGATCGCGAAAATAATGGTCCCAGGCAATTCCCCGGGTCGATATCTAGCCGCACCACCACTAACTTCACACGTGCCTCACATCCCTCATCCCTTAATCGTCCCTTAAACGACGGGGCGCGCCAAAAGTGCCTCAGGGGTTCTTCTGATCGCGAAAATAATGGTCCCAGGCGATTCCCCGGGTCGATATCTAGCCGCACCACCACTAACTTCACACGTGCCTCATATCCCTCATCCCTTAATCGTCCCTTAAACGACGGGGCGCGCCAAAAGTGCCTCAGGGGTTCTTCCGATCGCGAAAAGAATGGTCCCAGGCGATTCCCCGGGTCGATATCTAGCCGCACCACCACTAACTTCACACGTGCCTCATATCCCTTATCCCTTAATCGTCCCTTAAATGACGGGGCGCGCCAAAAGTGCCTCAGGGGTTCTTCTGATCGCGAAAATAATGGTCCCAGGCGATTCCCCGGGTCGATATCTAGCCGCACCACCACTAACTTCACACGTGCCTCATATCCCTTATCCCTTAATCGTCCCTTAAATGACGGGGCGCGCCAAAAGTAAATGACGGGGCGCGCCAAAAGTGCCTCAGGGGTTCTTCCGATCGCGAAAAGAATGGTCCCAGGCGATTCCCCGGGTCGATATCTAGCCGCACCACCACTAACTTCACACGTGCCTCACATCCCTCATCCCTTAATCGTCCCTTAAACGACGGGGCGCGCCAAAAGTGCCTCAGGGGTTCTTCTGATCGCGAAAATAATGGTCCCAGGCGATTCCCCGGGTCGATATCTAGCCGCACCACCACTAACTTCACACGTGCCTCATATCCCTCATCCCTTAATCGTCCCTTAAACGACGGGGCGCGCCAAAAGTGCCTCAGGGGTTCTTCCGATCGCGAAAATAATGGTCCCAGGCGATTCCCCGGGTCGATATCTAGCCGCACCACCACTAACTTCACACGTGCCTCATATCCCTTATCCCTTAATCGTCCCTTAAATGACGGGGCGCGCCAAAAGTGCCTCAGGGGTTCTTCTGATCGCGAAAATAATGGTCCCAGGCGATTCCCCGGGTCGATATCTAGCCGCACCACCACTAACTTCACACGTGCCTCATATCCCTTATCCCTTAATCGTCCCTTAAATGACGGGGCGCGCCAAAAGTGCCTCAGGGGTTCTTCCGATCGCGAAAAGAATGGTCCCAGGCGATTCCCCGGGTCGATATCTAGCCGCACCACCACTAACTTCACACGTGCCTCATATCCCTTATCCCTTAATCGTCCCTTAAATGACGGGGCGCGCCAAAAGTGCCTCAGGGGTTCTTCCGATCGCGAAAAGAATGGTCCCAGGCGATTCCCCGGGTCGATATCTAGCCGCACCACCACTAACTTCACACGTGCCTCATATCCCTTATCCCTTAATCGTCCCTTAAATGACGGGGCGCGCCAAAAGTGCCTCAAGGGTTCTTCCGATCGCGAAAAGAATGGTCCCAGGCGATTCCCCGGGTCGATATCTAGCCGCACCACCACTAACTTCACACGTGCCTCATATCCCTTATCCCTTAATCGTCCCTTAAATGACGGGGCGCGCCAAAAGTGCCTCAGGGGTTCTTCCGATCGCGAAAATAATGGTCCCAGGCGATTCCCCGGGTCGATATCTAGCCGCACCACCACTAACTTCACACGTGCCTCACATCCCTCATCCCTTAATCGTCCCTTAAACGACGGGGCGCGCCAAAAGTGCCTCAGGGGTTCTTCTGATCGCGAAAATAATGGTCCCAGGCGATTCCCCGGGTCGATATCTAGCCGCACCACCACTAACTTCACACGTGCCTCATATCCCTCATCCCTTAATCGTCCCTTAAACGACGGGGCGCGCCAAAAGTGCCTCAGGGGTTCTTCCGATCGCGAAAAGAATGGTCCCAGGCGATTCCCCGGGTCGATATCTAGCCGCACCACCACTAACTTCACACGTGCCTCATATCCCTTATCCCTTAATCGTCCCTTAAATGACGGGGCGCGCCAAAAGTGCCTCAGGGGTTCTTCTGATCGCGAAAATAATGGTCCCAGGCGATTCCCCGGGTCGATATCTAGCCGCACCACCACTAACTTCACACGTGCCTCACATCCCTCATCCCTTAATCGTCCCTTAAACGACGGGGCGCGCCAAAAGTGCCTCAGGGGTTCTTCCGATCGCGAAAAGAATGGTCCCAGGCGATTCCCCGGGTCGATATCTAGCCGCACCACCACTAACTTCACACGTGCCTCATATCCCTTATCCCTTAATCGTCCCTTAAATGACGGGGCGCGCCAAAAGTGCCTCAGGGGCTCTTCCGATCGCGAAAATAATGGTCCCAGGCGATTCCCCGGGTCGATATCTAGCCGCACCACCACTAACTTCACACGTGCCTCATATCCCTTATCCCTTAATCGTCCCTTAAATGACGGGGCGCGCCAAAAGTGCCTCAGGGGCTCTTCCGATCGCGAAAATAATGGTCCCAGGCGATTCCCCGGGTCGATATCTAGCCGCACCACCACTAACTTCACACGTGCCTCATATCCCTTATCCCTTAATCGTCCCTTAAATGACGGGGCGCGCCAAAAGTGCCTCAGGGGCTCTTCCGATCGCGAAAATAATGGTCCCAGGCGATTCCCCGGGTCGATATCTTGCCGCACCACCACTAACTTCACACGTGCCTCATATCCCTTATCCCTTAATCGTCCTTATCCCTTAATCACGTGTGAAGTTAGTGGTGGTGCGGCTAGATATCGACCCGGGGAATCGCCTGGGACCATTATTTTCGCGATCAGAAGAACCCCTGAGACACTTTTGGCGCGCCCCGTCGTTTAAGGGACGATTAAGGGATGAGGGATGCGAGGCACGTGTGAAGTTAGTGGTGGTGCGGCTAGATATCGACCCGGGGAATTGCCTGGGACCATTATTTTCGCGATTGGAAGAACCCCTGAGGCACTTTTGGCGCGCCCCGTCATTTAAGGGACGATTAAGGGATAAGGGATATGAGGCACGTGTGAAGTTAGTGGTGGTGCGGCAAGATATCGACCCGGGGAATCGCCTGGGACCATTATTTTCGCGATCGGAAGAGCCCCTGAGGCACTTTTGGCGCGCCCCGTCATTTAAGGGACGATTAAGGGATAAGGGATATGAGGCACGTGTGAAGTTAGTGGTGGTGCGGCTAGATATCGACCCGGGGAATCGCCTGGGACCATTCTTTTCGCGATCGGAAGAACCCCTGAGGCACTTTTGGCGCGCCCCGTCGTTTAAGGGACGATTAAGGGATGAGGGATGTGAGGCACGTGTGAAGTTAGTGGTGGTGCGGCTAGATATCGACCCGGGGAATCGCCTGGGACCATTATTTTCGCGATCAGAAGAACCCCTGAGGCACTTTTGGCGCGCCCCGTCATTTAAGGGACGATTAAGGGATAAGGGATATGAGGCACGTGTGAAGTTAGTGGTGGTGCGGCTAGATATCGACCCGGGGAATCGCCTGGGACCATTCTTTTCGCGATCGGAAGAACCCCTGAGGCACTTTTGGCGCGCCCCGTCGTTTAAGGGACGATTAAGGGATGAGGGATATGAGGCACGTGTGAAGTTAGTGGTGGTGCGGCTAGATATCGACCCGGGGAATCGCCTGGGACCATTATTTTCGCGATCAGAAGAACCCCTGAGGCACTTTTGGCGCGCCCCGTCGTTTAAGGGACGATTAAGGGATGAGGGATGTGAGGCACGTGTGAAGTTAGTGGTGGTGCGGCTAGATATCGACCCGGGGAATCGCCTGGGACCATTATTTTCGCGATCGGAAGAACCCCTGAGGCACTTTTGGCGCGCCCCGTCATTTACTTTTGGCGCGCCCCGTCATTTAAGGGACGATTAAGGGATAAGGGATATGAGGCACGTGTGAAGTTAGTGGTGGTGCGGCTAGATATCGACCCGGGGAATCGCCTGGGACCATTATTTTCGCGATCAGAAGAACCCCTGAGGCACTTTTGGCACGCCCCGTCATTTAAGGGACGATTAAGGGATAAGGGATATGAGGCACGTGTGAAGTTAGTGGTGGTGCGGCTAGATATCGACCCGGGGAATCGCCTGGGACCATTATTTTCGCGATCAGAAGAACCCCTGAGGCACTTTTGGCGCGCCCCGTCATTTAAGGGACGATTAAGGGATAAGGGATATGAGGCACGTGTGAAGTTAGTGGTGGTGCGGCTAGATATCGACCCGGGGAATCGCCTGGGACCATTATTTTCGCGATCGGAAGAACCCCTGAGGCACTTTTGGCGCGCCCCGTCGTTTAAGGGACGATTAAGGGATGAGGGATGTGAGGCACGTGTGAAGTTAGTGGTGGTGCGGCTAGATATCGACCCGGGGAATTGCCTGGGACCATTATTTTCGCGATCGGAAGAACCCCTGAGGCACTTTTGGCGCGCCCCGTCATTTAAGGGACGATTAAGGGATAAGGGATATGAGGCACGTGTGAAGTTAGTGGTGGTGCGGCTAGATATCGACCCGGGGAATCGCCTGGGACCATTATTTTCGTGATCGGAAGAGCCCCTGAGGCACTTTTGGCGCGCCCCGTCGTTTAAGGGACGATTAAGGGATAAGGGATACCTGCTAGGGCAAAATTAATGTCATATTCGTGCTCCCCGTCCCCGAATTGACCAGATATGACGTTTTCAAGTGATTCGGTACTCGACGCTGAATACGAATCCGAATCCGACGCCAACTTCACGCACATACAAAATCAAACGTCATCGCTTGAATGCATTTGTAGTTTAGAAGACATACAAAGGATTTCAAATTGATAACAGAATTGTGCCGCAAAATACCATTGCTAACGCGCGGCTAAAAACGTTCTCTACCGGTAAATATCGGAAAAGTCGAAGTCTGGCGAAAAGTGCCTCCAAGAACTAGGCTCTGGAAACGCCTCTGCGCATGTAAGAAACTCCCGGTGCCCTCCCCGTTCCGCCGCCTATGCCGCGGGAATTGATACCCCCCCCCCTCCTCCCCCCTCCACTGAATCTGAATGTGCACTCAAGGTCATCGATATTCGCAGTGCGCATGCGCGCAGCGAATGTGAATGTGCATTCAAGGTCATCGATATTCGCAGTGCGCATGCGCGCCGCCAATGTGAATGTCGATGAAACTGATCGATATTCGGAACGAATGTGAATGTGCATTCAAGGTCATCGATATTGGCAGTGCGCATGCGCGCCGCGAATATCGATGAAAATGATCGATATTCGGGACGAATCTGAATATCGATGAAAATGATCGATATTCGGAACGAATCTGAATGTGAATCTGAATGTGAATATGATGTAACTATACGCGCATCGCGGCTGCGTCGGTCGCGTCGGTGCATATTTACGTCTGGACAACGAGTTGCGGGGAAAAGTGCTGATTGTGTTGCAGTTTTAGGAGCCGGTGATTAGGCTGGATTTTTGGGTTACTTTTTCGTTCCGATTCATGTATTTCATAGTGTTTGGCTTTTGAATATTTTAGTTCTTTCAAATAAATATTGCTTGCCTTACAACTTTTGTAAAAACGTTTCACTTTTTTTATAAGCCGACGTTCAGAGTCCTAAAAATACATCAGCACTACAATTATTGTAAACAAACAAATGGAGCACCACTTGGCTCTGTTCCAAGGCCATTTTTTAGCTTATCTGGTGGTTTTCTTGCTCTTGTACGTCGTTTTGTTGGATGTTTTGAATCCCTTAAGATTGACTTATATCATATTTAAGAAGCATGTTGACTGAAAACAATCTGAAGTATCCATGAGGCTGACAGAAGTCCTGACTACTGAGCAATATCAATATCAAGTTGAACAAGTTATGAAATTTTGGTTGATAAACGCAAGTTGATCGGGCTCATATATCAGCAAGAAAAAGTAAAATTAAAAGAGCTTATTGTCCAAAAACAAGCTAAAATTTTGCAGACCTTGGAGCAATACTGAAGTGCACGCTGAGCAGGATCATGCCAGAAAATGTTGACTGACGAGCACATATTGATGTATTGGTATGAATATTGAATGATAACTTACAACAGCAAGATAAATTAGTGCTAACTATCAAGTTAAAATCTAGAATGAATGGACTTGGGCAGTTTTACTATGTTTAGATGCTATGCAGATTGTAATGTGCATCAGATACTCGTGTCTGGCAAATGAAACATGCGATCATTCCATTGCTACTGGAGGAGAAAGCTTGGATCACTAAATCCACTTTATGTTGATTTTGATGTTAATCATCATCACTGTATTTTTTTGAAAAAAGGATTGTAGTAAAATTGTCAATGTGACAATCCATGCAACGATGTGATCATATTATGTGTTTATAGTCATTCGTGATAGTCATTATTGGTCCAATATACAATGGCAAAGCTCTCAGTCTCAGCGTTTCTTCCTGTGGATGGCCAGCAGTGACTCAGAGCTTAGAAGTATTAGTTTTCTTCACAGGGCTGGGATAAAAAGTACTGAGGGTAATCTTCCACCAAGGAACTCTACTTTGACATGGTATGAGATGTAGGCACAAGTAGGTAGGTGCTCAGTTCCTATAGTCAGTAGTTGTGTATGTTTAGTCGGGCTAGCTTAGATCAGATTGTTAGTTTTTTAATTTGCCAAATGTCCATAAAAATGTGACCTGAGCAATGAGCATACCTGAACCTGACAGCTGACCTAACCTCAATCATCACACATATTTGCAGCCTACCCAAGACCTGCATGGCAGTAGCACCCAGTTATAGGTAGGTACTCACCCTAACTCAATCTTACCTGCTAACCTTCAACTTGCCAAAAGTTAGCTCACATTGCCAAGCTGTGTCCAGGGAAACAGTCAACTGAGGAACTGGCTCATTGGGTGGCTGGTGTGAGTCTGTGCATTTAAAGTGTTTCTTCTCTGAAGCTGCTCTGCACTGCTGTACGTCATGTTAGATGTTCAGAAAATGTGGGAAATGATTACTAAGCTACTTTAGTGCTTTGTTAATGCTCGAGACATGAACAAGTACATATCCTGCAGGGTACAGCTATGAGTTAGGTGCTAGGTGAGTATGTTATGTGAATGTGCTGTTCCCTGTTTGACCGTAAGTATACAAACAAGCACAGGGTCACAGTTATATTCAATCTCCACATAAACATACAACAAAAACGGCCATATAGCCTAACTCCGAAGTCAGATAACTTAAGCCTTTGAAGGCACAACAGTGTTTTGATTAACAGGACAGGTTTACAATATATCCTCTGTCCTTGGGGGATCTTGCTGCCAAGTTGAGGTATGATGACTGAACTTCAGGACTGATCAACCTTTTCTTAGCCACTGCTTATATACGAAAAAGACCAAATGCTTGTTTGTTTTGATTTACAGGACATGTATACAATATATCCTCTGTCCTTGGGGGATCTTGCTGCCAAGTTGAGGTACGATGACTGAACTTCAGGATTGATCAACCTTTTCTTAGCCACTGCTTATAAACGACGAGAAAGACCAAATGCTTGTTTGTAAACTGCGTTGAAAATTTAATGATCCACCTTCAATTCTGACATGAGGGCACAAATGAAATAGTTCCCTCTCCTTTTGGAATACAAAAAGCAAAATATTTAATAAATTTTAGTGGATGGACAAGAGCAATTAGCATAGCTTTCCCTCAAGTTAACTTCTGGCACTGTTGATGAATTACACTGACTCTTATTCGCTTCATATTTTGTAACAAATGCGCTAAAACTGCAATATAACAGCACTATATGCTTCTTGACAAAATGCAATAGTATTAAAAATTTAGCCCTGATGGCATTCATTCTTGGTGGAAACGTAATTACAAAATATTTTGTAGTAACTATTAAATTCCGGCCGAAAACAGTGCTCGGTTAAAAAAAGAATCATTCCAATGACGGTCCATTCTAGCGGTCCTGAAATCGCCACTATTTCCGGCCTCTCCAACGCAACTCGTTGTCCAGACGTAAATATGCCGCGTCGGTAGTGTCTCAGCGTCTTTCGTCAAACTTCGAGCACTTTCGGATTTGTTTCGCGACGGACGTCTTGAGACGGGAGGTGACCTTGGGAGTGGCATCTCACTAGGCCGTATATCTCCTATATCTCCGCGCGGTGAGTAGTGGATGTGGAGCAGTGCAGTACAATTACCCCAAGTGATCAGATGTGTAAGTATGGTGTGGTATGTGAATGCAGATGGGGAGCTCGACAGGGCACGTCCGATCCCCTCGAAAGATCGCGGCAGAATCCCCTTTAAGAATGTCTTTAATTTTTGCAAAAAATGAAATCAGTGTTTGTCATCTGAGGTTATATTAGGTAACCATTTCATCAGTAACTACCTACTGTATTCTTTTTCAGGGTTCATCCTGCCTTGAGGGTGGGCTGTCATGTCGTTCGGCAGTGGTATGGAGCAATCACTGCAGAGTGCCGAGTCTCTGGATAGGGCATCACCTGAGCTGTGGCCGGAAAAGGGAGACTGTGAGTGGGCAGGAGGTCTCAGATTGAACACTGCTATCGTGATTGAAGTGTAGTGTTGGCATGCAATTGCAGATTAGACTGGTGTATCCTGTACCTTATTTCTTCAACATAGGCAATGCTGATCATCTTATTAACTATAATAACTTGTAAATCTTAGGGTCAAGGGTGCCCAAGGCCCCAATTTGTTGGCATTAATCTATATAATTGGTACATCTTCAACCTTTAAAAGTTACCTAAATGGAGAAACATGTAAGCTTTTGTACTTGACTCAGTTATGTTTCACACCCAGCACCCAACAATGAGCACGTGCTCACTGGAGTTGCTCCCGTTTTGCAGATGCCGCCTGTGCCGAGCTGCTGTGTCAGGACAGCAACAGCAACGGTGCCAGCGGTGCTCGTCCGACAGCAGCCATCTCGCCCGTCCTCATCACAGACCAGGATTTCACACAACAGGACATGAAGCTCTTCCACGGTCAGTCAGAGTCGCAAAACTAATGTGTACTGGCTGATCGGTCTGGTTGAGAGTACTCGTATCTTATTTTACCGGCCCTGATGGCCGTTTTTGTACGCTGACAGCCCGTTCACCGTCACCTTACGTCCGCAGAGTACGCCAGCCTGAGGCCGGAGCAGCTGGTGGATGTGGTGAAGCAGCTGCAGAACGTCGCCTACCTGCTGGGCCTGGAGGAAGCCAAGGAGATGCGGCGCGGCAAGTACCTCAACATCCTGGTCCGGAAGCGACAGCCCTGACCTGTGATGGCGCGACGGAAAAACACGTAATGTGAGTTTGGCTGAATGATCCGGTCTCCGTGAGCTATTTTTACGATGTGTTGAATGATATGGCGTACAAGACGTCTATCGACAATGGTATGGACCACTTGGTTGTTGACCAAATGATCACTCTGTCGTGCAAAGACAAAATCGATTACGTTAGGTCAGAGGTCATTGCGTCAGGCGAAAGGTCACGCGAACGTAATCGTTTTTTCCCTTTACACGGCGGCACTTTATTCTCAGTGGGTGCGTGCCTGCCAGTGCGTGTTGTAAAACAACACTGACGCTGGTATTCATCTCATTTTGAGAGATATTGTCGCATTATCCGGCCGAGACCACCTGAGGCCACAGCCGTACCACTTTTCCGGCATGTAATGATAGAATCGATTTTTGTGGGTCGATGATTAAACGGCGTGTCTCCCTGGATATTCCGGCCCCCGAGTTCCGCTCGGTTCCAGGGCTGACCTCTTGTTCGTATCACCGGTTGTGGATTGGAAATGGCGTCATATACTCACATCACACATGTAATAAGATCATAAATGCACACCTCTGCTTTTTGTACGAGCTTTAGGATATTTTCCGTACTCCCTCATTAACCTGTTGTCGCGTATCGGACATATTTCTCGTTTTGGAGGCATAATAAATCGCGTACACTTTAGCTCTTACAGGGACTTCGTTGATTTCTTATTGTTCACGTACACTCCGTACCCTATTCCGCGAATCGTGTGTAGACCGTGGTCGGGCGAAGCAGTCGCGGTAGGCGGTCACTGTGATTTACCTTGTTGCGGTTTCTAGCACCCGGTATTGTTATGCCTCGTTGATTATCTTGCAACGCTTTTCGGTAACTCATTTTTATTCCATTGACCATTCCATCATTTCATTGCAAACATTTGATTTTTACAACCTTGCCATCGTGTTGACTTCAGTCTGGTAAGCGTCTTCCGAAGTAGGGTCAAACAAGTTCCTGCGGCACAGCACGGTCCTCCCAAAATGTAGATACTGAACTCAACAGTCAATGTAGCAACTGGTAATGTGGCCAGCACGAGGTATACCAGAAACAACACATCACACAGATCGGTACGCATGATTAACCGTTAACCACAAACACAACACAGTATTATCGAGAAAACACAGCCAAAGCGGCGCTGGCAGTCTCGCCCACAGCAGCAGCTGGGATATTCCTAACCCCACCCCTGCCTCTTATCACGTCTGCGTGTAGAGGCTGGCCGCAAACACAATGTCCCTTTTGATGGAGGTGCTCGCCTCGCCGGCCTTCTCGTAGAGCGTGGGGTTTCCGATGGTTCTCGCTGCGTTTTTGACGTCACGGAGCGTCTCATCGAGCCTCTGGATGCAGCGCACGATGATTCCCTCCTGTACGTCCGTCAGCTGCATGATGGCGCTGAACGTCTACGGGGAGAACGAGCGTCAGGAAAGAGGGAGAGGTGAACCGCGAATACGCTGAGTATGGGAGCGTGGCGGCTTGCGCGGATAGATCGACAAGTTTTTCACACGTCTGTGACCGGCCATGGCTGACGCGATTGAGTGGCTGATTGATGCATGGAGCAAAAAATAGTTGATTTAATAGAATAAACAGAAAGATGCGGGCACCGAAAAAAAAACTTTGAGCTGTTTCATTCCACCAACTCAATCCAATGCAATGTCTCCTCTTGACGTCTCAAGCCGACGTCGAAGAGACATTCACGTAGGTACTCAGAACTCGTAGCCCGACATAATCGCACTCCCCGGGACCTGTCCCCTCTCCCCCCCCCCCCCGCCCATTAGGAAGTCTCTGCGACTTACCATGCCCCTGGACCACTCGTAGACGACCTCGACCAGGCCGAAGTTGAGCATCTCCTCGTGTTTTTCGGCGTCGTTCAGGCCACACTCGTGCTGACACGCGTCAATCTGAGCAGCGATCTCCGTCAGCTCCAGCTTTCCCTGCGAAATGGTGGCAGGATAGCGTTAGGAGCAACAAACGTTTAGACCTATGCCAAATGTTTCGATCACCATGTAGAAATGATCGTGATGGCTACACTCACTCTTGCATTGCAAACGTCCCAACCTAATAGAAACGTGAATTGAATAGGACAGTAGACTAGTCAAGGTATTGTTTGTTGGCTCACGCGACAATGAACGTTACAAATTCATATCGGAGCGATTGTTGTCGAACAACATAAATTGATACGGCCACCTAAATACAAAAAAAAAAACATCACTGCCAATAATCAAGCATGTCCACCACGATCCGTCCCACATTTCTTCATCAGCCGCCACGCACAAGTACCTTCTCCAGCACGGGCGTAAGGTTGGGCTCGCTGCAGCGTTTCTGTTCGAACACGAGCGCCGAGAGGAGGGCGGCGATCTCGGCCGGCTCTCGGCCCGTGAGCACGTCGTGGAACACGAGCTCGGTGACCAGCATCTCCCGGTAGCCCATCTGACAGCCCACGCGGCCTTTCAGCTTCACTGCGCAACGGGCGGGGGTCACGGAGGTCACTTCACTGCCAGAGGGCACTCAGTTAGTTCACTGGGAATTGGCCAGGGTTTGTTGAGCCCCTTCACTCTGAACGATCGAATATCACTGCAAATTACTAAAACAGAGTTAGGTCGAGAGGACGTGTATAAGACTGGGGCCACCGGCCATGAGACTTCAAGACTGATCGCTGCCGAAGCATTCCAATGATAAGAATCATTAGCACACTGACTAAATAAGTGATGCTTTTAGATTTTAATAAACACTTAAGTTATTTCCAGATCACAGTCCGAAAATATCCCAACTAAAAGCCGGCGGTGTTCACTAACCGACGTTGTCGCTGTCGACATAGCCGAGCCGTTTGAGGACGTCCACTCTGAGGCAGTACTCGGGCAGCAGGGAGAGGGACTCGTCCGACAGCTGGAACTTGATGTCGTTCAGCTGATCCAACAGCAGCCGGTGCCGGCACACCGCCTCCAACTGCGGGACGGGGACGGAGAGCAGAGTGAGGGTGGGTGCAGGGGACGAGCAGGTGACAGCGTAGTAAACGGGAACAGGCACGAGTCTACGAAGCTAGTGTTAAATTAATCGACAGTGAAGACCGTCTGCAGACTAGACAGTAGACAACTCGAGAAGCTTTTTAGGCGATGAAACTCAAACTCAACCAGCCCTTGAAGCCTTGCTCAAACTAACTAAATGCCCTGGTTCGGCCCAGCCCCGCAGAAATTGCTGTTGAGATGGCGATGCACCTATCATTGCACGTCATTGCAGGTCATTGTTTATTGTTCTTTTAATTGGCTCAACTCTCACCATAATCCGTTAAACCTGTCTGATCCCACCACCCTCTCACCTTATTCGCAGAAGGCCCGTCTTTTCGTACATACTCAGAGTCAGCTCTCACTGCATCGCTAAACCTGTCTGAGCTGACACCCTCTATTCCCTCACCGTGTCGCGGAAGCTCTGTCTGACCATACACTCCATATTCCCTCACCGTGTCGCGGAAGCTCTGTCTGACCATACACACCCCATATTCCCTCACCGTGTCGTGGAAGCTGGGACTGAGCAGACACTCCATCTCCAGTAGGCGCGCCCGGAGCCGCTCCAGACTGATCAGGTCGTCCGCCAGCTCCAGCTGGTTGTTGTGCAGCTGCCGCGCCGGGCCGCCGGCCGCCGCCACCAGCTCCCGGATGGCCAGCGCGCAGGACGGAGACGGCGGGTTGTCGGCGAACCGCGCCAGCTGCCGCTTCTTGACGTCATCCACCACCTTCACTGCCTCCACTGCAGGCGAAGAAAGGGACGGGGTGAGGTCACACTCACAACACCAGAGTTGGTCACTTTCTGATTGTTTCCGTGAGTACTGTCATCAGGCCAGGACGACAAGACAAGATCAAAGAATACAACCGAACTCTGAGGCTGCACTTAGTGCTTACATCGCTGAGCTTCGGCAGCTGTATTGGTATTTTTTCGGCACTAGTATTTTCATCCACGCGGTAGTCTATTTAAAAATGACGACATTTGCAACTGACACCTGTAAGGACATTAAGAACCCATGTACGACGCATTACCATATGTAGCCTTACACATCTTTCTCCGTTTATGCTACTCCCACCAACAGCTATCCTCTAAATCACCCTGAAATCACACATCACATTAGTTACCTTTGACGCCCCTGGCCATGATGAGGTCGACCTGCGCCCGCTGTATGGTGTGCAGGCCGTACGAGGCCGGCCCGCTCGGCTCGTACACCGCCTCGTTGACGGCCTGCCGCATCCTCCAGGCCAGTGGAGAGGTGCCCTCCGGCCGGACGTCGTCGTCACAGGCGAGCACGGTGAACTGGACGGTACCGGAGCCGCCGCCTAGAGAGCCAGAGCCGCCGCGGTGCACCTGAAAACGGCACGGGGTTGGAGACATGGCGTCAATCACTTCATCTTAGATCAAGGAAACATGGCCCAGGCGTCTCAGATCGAATTCATGGGGCGATTAGTACATTTGGACATGGCTTATTGGTTCGGAAGAGAAACAATGGCGGCGGAACAGAAAACATAACGTTCGTCAGTATAACCGAGGAGCGGGTGATATATGCATCTAGCTGAAGCTGTACGGATCTTGAACGAAAATAAATGAATAAATAGCAATATTTACAGGGGTGTGCGCTAGAATCCGGAAAAAAACTTAGGGAAAGAACTGAAGGGTTTATTTGGTATCGCAAGGCTTCACTTCAAAATTTTTACTTTTATAGCGAAGACTGATCCCTCCTCTGCACTATCGTTCGACTTAACCCCCTCCAGCTCCAATCTCAGCCTCCACAGGACGCCGGAACCTGCCGCAGGCGTTGGTGACCTGCTCCTGGGTTAAGTTGGTCACGGCCTGGATAATGGCGGTCCTCAGGGAGTCGAAAGTGTTGTGAGTACCTTTGTTGGACTCTCTCTCAAGGACGCCCCACAGCTAGTGGTCGACCGGACACGGAAGATCTTCTCGCAGAGAAAGAAGCGGATCCGGCCGGCAGCTCTGTGCTTCAAAGAAGTGATGAGCAGCTCACATCTCCGAGTTTCCTGGTCTTTATGACTTCTGAGAGCATCTGCCTCACCTCGAGAACGTAGCTCATGATATCGGAGATCCTCGTGAATCGCACGAAGAACTGTTGCCCTGCGCAGATTGAGCCTCGAGGTCACCTTCTGCATGGGCAGGCTCGGACCTTCTCCAATAATGGCCTCGGGCTGCTCCAAGAAGTCCTTATTCCGCTTCCGAACCTCGAATCGGCCCTGCTCCTTCCTCTTGGGAGTCAGAGACTCACTCATCGTCTCTTCAGACTCTTTGAGCAGCTTCGCAAAGTCGTACACGGTCAATTTCGGGAACTAAAATAAGTCCAAAATTTCCTTGGGCGCGCGGCCGCAACGGAGGGCCACAAAAATTGCGGTGCGGCGCTCTAACTCAGAGGACATTTCTACTTATTTTGTTTCCGATCGAAGGCGACTCAAGTCACAAACCTATGAGGAAAAGAAGAGTGATATATTTAAAAAAGTTTATATGATACACCAAGTTTAAGTTTTTCCGGATTCTAGTGCACACCCCTGTAGACGGGATGCGACTCGGTTCGTTTACTAACCTGCAGTATGACGCCGAGTCGCCGTGAGAGCCGCTCGGTGGAGAAGGTGACGATCTGACCGGCATTCTCCAGC